CAACACCAGCAACATAATACAAATCTGAGTTAAACCAGTTTGCTACTTGTATAGCATGAGTTATATCCAACTCCCAGTGTAAGAAATAGGACCGATGTCTTACACCAAGAGATCACATCAACTCTAATGGAAAAATCGCAGATGGACTCTCAAAATTTTCGAAAAAATGCCGTCCAAAAATACGTTCACCCACTGAATATGGATGATCACGCGCGCAAAAATTCATCAAAGGAGAGAGGCATTTTATTGGTGGCTTGTAAGAGGTCGATGAATATATACACGTATAAGTGAGACGTCAGAGGCCCATCTATCCAGGTGGCCATCTCATTTGCCTACCACCCAAAACATGAAGATGGAGATGATACACTGACTGAGCACCATCCTTTCCGTTATTTATAACAACGCGATAACCTCGTTCTGCCAAGCGTTCATTGGCCAAAGTCTTGGCAACCAGTAATAAGCGACCGAGAATCTATAAATGAGCTAAAATAGGCGTACTTCGATGTCGTCGCTTTGTGCAGTACCCAGCATGGAAATGGGCTTTTTCGGAATCACTAGAAAATGAACAGGGGCTTGGGGATTAACGTCATTAAAGGCAAGACACGTGTCGTCTTCATAGATAATATCAGCAGGTATTTCCTTCCTAACGATCCTTCCAAAAATCGTATCACCTGATGAATCGGAAGCAGATTGCGCTTTTTCAACCTCGGTCGTCATTGGTCTGAAAAGGATATGCTGGCGAGGAAAGCGAGAGAAAATAACGCGGGGAAGTGAAAGAAGGAAAAATTCCAAAACTCCCTTCATTTATAAAATAAAACAAATCAATATATACTATTACTTATTTCAAAAAGTAAAAATTCAGTAATGAAAAGCATACATTAGTATAGATCTTGCGAATAAATGCGCGCGCTTTTCTCGCTCTGTCCAGTTGCCTCTCATCTGATACGTCCTCTTCGTTCTGTTCATTTATATAAGACTAAATTGCCAAAACACGTAAAGGCTCCTCCTTATATTACTGACAATGATTATAGTTCACCTTCATACCCTGAGATACATAACAATGAAAGACTCCGCGATATCCGAGAGGCTTGTCAGGTTGTCAAGTCAATATTTTCTGAGCTGGAAGGGATAATCGAGCCCGGTATATCAACGGGAACAATAGATGATTTTGTATACTTGCGGTGCCTTTCAAATGGTGTTTATCCTTCTCCTCTAGGCTACAAGGGCTTCCCAAGGTAAGTTCTATTATTCTTTGCTATAATTATATTCTTGGATTTTGTAATCCATCACTTTTTTTATTGATTGTTTTTTGGCTCAGTGTATCTTAGCGAATTTTTAATTACAAACTATATCTTTCTTTATGCATATTTTATTGCAACGCGTTTCAAAAAACTATTTATTTATCGTTTTATCCACTAGCTGGCCCAAACCTGTTTAGAT